TACACTTATTAGGAATGAATAAGGAAAAACAATGAGAAAGGCTTGCTTTCGTGCAGTATCTAGCCAGATGGCCACTGCGGTTGCACCGAAAACATCGAGGGTCATTTCGCCTTCCGTAGACATTGCGTTGCGTTTCCATCCTTGGTGTATTTCCCGACAATAAATTCTGCACCATCTGTGTCAGTTGGTCCACCTTGCGTTCAAGTTCCGACGGCTTGATTCTGGCCATGGTCAACGGATCCGCCAAACTCTGCGCCACTGTCACAAGCTCCTCCGCCTTGACCGCTCCGACCATCGATGCCAGCTTCACTTGATCCTGGAGGGCTTTCGGCAGGTTCTGAATCAATTGTCCTTTCAATAGTCTTTCTTTGGCGGCCGCATCTAATTCGGGTAGCCCAAACGTCAAGTTCCTATCCAGTTGCTGGAAAAATCTCATCAAATCGTCCTGCACTTCCCATTTTGCTGAGTGAAATTTTTCCAGTGCCCTCTGTTGCTCCATCTCCTTTGCAAACTCCGCGCACAACGCCGCCTTTACTTCGTTAAACGAGCATCCAGCTTTCGACTTCCGCGTCAGCAGGTACGTCGCTTTTGCTCTTCCAGATAACAGCGTGCCCAAGGCCGTAAGCAGGTTTGCATCCCCTTTGAGTCCGTTGCAAGCCGCGATTCCTTCGAACTCATCCAACCAAGCCTCCGCGTCTCCCTCCGAAAATTGAGCAGGCCACGGCACTTTCATCCTGGTCACGGCACCAGTGTAGCGAGAACGACACGGTAGGGGAGAACGCTGTTTATTGCACGCTGAGAGGTTCACACACATGTCCCCCCCCCCCCCCCCACACACACACACACAAACATAGCCGCGTTTCCCACTGACGACGCACCACGTTCCGCCGAGTGAAGTGGTGTCCACTAAGCGCCATTAGGCTGATCCGACGTGGACATTGAATGTGCCGTTTTCCGCCCACCTTTCTGCTCCCTTGCGTCGCAGCCTATCCAGACTGGATTCGTACCAAAGCTCTCGACTTGCTTGTTCGGGGCTGTGTTGCTCTGGTAGGGCCGATTCCTGGGGCCACAGATAAAGGCATATCTCTTGGGAAAATCGGGCTCCCTTTCATGTCGCCTCTTGTTCTTCTCGGCGCGGCCGCGGTATCGTTTGTCGCTGACGACCCATTCCCGGCTTGCATCATAGGCCACGAGCTGGGTTGACGATTCCCGTTCCCAGTCTCCGCGTTAGTCCCGATCTCCTGCTGCTTCCGGGGCATTTCCGTGGGAACTGAGATCCGCGCCCCTACACCCGACCCATCTCGAAAACCTGGTTCCCTCGTATACCATGGGTGTAGAAGAGATGCGTTTACCCAGCGTTTCACCACCCCGTTGTCGATACGGCAGCTCGTCCCTTTTCGGTCGATCACTGTATAGGGACCTTTCCAGCGTTGGTTGAACTTGCTCGCGCCGGTTCCTTTGTGTGACGGTGAATCGTTAGTGCGTAGCTTGACTTGGTCTCCTAGGTTGAATGGTCTCCATTTGTCTGCCGCATATCTCGCATCATAGTTCCGCTTGTTGCGGAATTGCCGAGCCCTCGTTTCCCTTCTGGCGGTTGTTGTCAGCCTTCGGTGTTGTAGGGCTGGATGTTCGCGCTCGCAGTCGATTGCCAAATAGGTGTCGATTGCAATCATTGGTTCTCTGCCAAATCGCAATGCAAACGGTGAAACCTTGGTGCTTGAATGCATGCTGGTTCCATAAGCGAGCAGCACCTCCGGTAACGCTTCCTCCCACGGTAACTTTGTGCAGTTCATCCATGTGTTCAGAGTTCGGTTAAACCGTTCTGTCATCCCGTTGGTCTGCGGGTGGTAAGGCGAAGTGCGTTTTCTCCGGATGCCCCATTTGGCCAGCATGGCCTGAAACGCTTTTGATTCAAAGCACGGACCTTGGTCGGTGATAACGCTGTGCGGTATTCCATACCTCGCCGGTACGTTGAATTCGAACGCCTGTGCCACGGTCTCGCTTGTTTGATCTTTAATTGGTATCGCTTCGACCCAACGAGTGAAATGGTCAATCATCACCAGGATGTAGGCGTTACCCGATCGGCTCAGCGGCAGCGGTCCAAATATGTCTAGTCCCCAGCAATGTAGTGCCTCGCTGATTTCAATCGACTTCATTGGCGGTCTGGGTGCATCCATCTCACGGCTTGTTTGACAGTTTGGGCACCCCCGGATATATGCCGCAACGTCCCTTCTCATGGTTGGCCAGAAGACTCGTCTCCGCAGCAAGTCAAAAACTCTCTCAAATCCCATGTGTGCGCTGTCATGGACCATTTGAATCACCCGCTCCCGTCGACTTTGTGGGATAAAAGGAAGTCTCATTCCGTTTGTCTGTACCAGCAAATTACCGTTTACTGTGCACAGCCTGTCCCAGATCCTGACGAGATCCTCCATTTCCCCCGATGTGGCATCCGGTTTGGTACCCAATTATAAATGGCTACACAGCGACTGCACCAGTTTATCCTTCCTTTGAATTTCGAGTAGCGTGTCCCTCCCAACTGTGACTGCACACACCGGTATAGCAGTGTCCGGTATGACGTCGTCCAACAGCGGCCGCGACAGCATATCAGGTAGCACATGCTTCGTCTCATCCACGTGTCCGATAGTGAAGGTAAATTCTTGGAGTCAATATGCCCATCGTGCAAGACGTCCTCGTGGATCCTTCGTTGTCATCAAACATGACAGCGGTTTGTGGTCCGTCAAGACGTGGAATTCATTCGCCAACAGGTATGACGCCCCCGCCCCTGTATCTACTACCGCTCGAACTGGCACCCCCTGATTTATGACGTCTATCACAGGCACCCTACACTTATTAGGAATGAATAAGGAAAAACAATGAGAAAGGCTTGCTTTCGTGCAGTATCTAGCCAGATGGCCACTGCGGTTGCACCGAAAACATCGAGGGTCATTTCGCCTTCCGTAGACATTGCGTTGCGTTTCCATCCTTGGTGTATTTCCCGACAATAAATTCTGCACCATCTGTGTCAGTTGGTCCACCTTGCGTTCAAGTTCCGACGGCTTGATTCTGGCCATGGTCAACGGATCCGCCAAACTCTGCGCCACTGTCACAAGCTCCTCCGCCTTGACCGCTCCGACCATCGATGCCAGCTTCACTTGATCCTGGAGGGCTTTCGGCAGGTTCTGAATCAATTGTCCTTTCAATAGTCTTTCTTTGGCGGCCGCATCTAATTCGGGTAGCCCAAACGTCAAGTTCCTATCCAGTTGCTGGAAAAATCTCATCAAATCGTCCTGCACTTCCCATTTTGCTGAGTGAAATTTTTCCAGTGCCCTCTGTTGCTCCATCTCCTTTGCAAACTCCGCGCACAACGCCGCCTTTACTTCGTTAAACGAGCACCCAGCTTTCGACTTCCGCGTCAGCAGGTACGTCGCTTTTGCTCTTCCAGATAACAGCGTACCCAAGGCCGTAAGCAGGTTTGCATCCCCTTTGAGTCCGTTGCAAGCCGCGATTCCTTCGAACTCATCCAACCAAGCCTCCGCGTCTCCCTCCGAAAATTGAGCAGGCCACGGCACTTTCATCCTGGTCACGGCACCAGTGTAGCGAGAACGACACGGTAGGGGAGAACGCTGTTTATTGCACGCTGAGAGGTTCACACACATGTCCCCTCCCCCCCCCCCCACACACACACACAAACATAGCCGCGTTTCCCACTGACGACGCACCACGTTCCGCCGAGTGAAGTGGTGTCCACTAAGCGCCATTAGGCTGATCCGACGTGGACATTGAATGTGCCGTTTTCCGCCCACCTTTCTGCTCCCTTGCGTCGCAGCCTATCCAGACTGGATTCGTACCAAAGCTCTCGACTTGCTTGTTCGGGGCTGTGTTGCTCTGGTAGGGCCGATTCCTGGGGCCATAGATAAAGGCATATCTCTTGGGAAAATCGGGCTCCCTTTCATGTCGCCTCTTGTTCTTCTCGGCGCGGCCAAGGTATCGTTTGTCGCTGACGACCCATTCCCGGCTTGCATCATAGGCCACGAGCTGGGTTGACGATTCCCGTTCCCAGTCTCCGCGTTAGTCCTGATCTCCTGCCGCTTCCGGGGTATTTCCGTGTGAACTGAGATCCGCGCCCCTACATTATGATGCGCATTATCCGAAACTGCACCAAATATACCAGGCATGGTTAGCGCTAAGCATTATATACTGTCTCTTTGATGTATATCGCCTCTTGATTGCATAGAATGTTGCATTAAGTTAACCCCTTTCCTTCTTTTATTGATCGGAATTAATTCTAAATGGCTGTAACTTCCCATAATTAGAAGCAAAAAGCGCGATAGTTATGCGTTGGCGTTTGAAACGGGATTTGGATGTTGATTATAGCAAACCGGATTGGTGTGTAACAGCCTCAAAAAGATTAAGACCAGCTGGTGTACCTCAACATGCGGAAAAGATAAGTGTTACATCACTTTCTAACAATACCATCAAGTCGCATCCAGGCCATGAGTAAGAGTAATTTGGACTCGATACTTAGTGAAAGAAAGTCATATCTTTTCTTCGCACTACACTCAGATGAGCGGGTAGACGTTAGATCTTGGTCCGAGCTCCTTGTTTATGTTTAATGCATAAAAGGTGACGGCTTCAAAGAAGACTGCTAATTCTCAGTATCACTGAACACTGCTACACGAGTTGCGATGTGCATTACTGAAACCGCATCAAATATGCCAGAACACGTTTATTCATCATATATTGATTTAATGAAAAATTGCTCAAAAATAGGGTTGTTTATTTGAATGATCAAAAGTAATTAAGTGTGGTATTCATTTACCGTACTTTAAAGCATACAATGCAATAGTTATTAGGTAAGTGGCCTTTGAAAGTTCAGGGGTAACTGCTTAGGGTGAACCCGCTTTGTGGGTAACGACGTCACAAAGGTTGGGAACCACTGGTTTAGATGCTATGCTACGAGTTTTATCCTGGTATATCCACCAGCATATTCACATACTCACTTGGCACTCTTGATGCCATCCCGGAATGTCCTGCACGTCCTTCGTGGATTCCTCCACCAATCGTAGTTGCTCTTGTAAATGGTCCCACACATGGTGCACATTGGCCGCGTTGAACCAATTGTGGTTGATGGACAAACATTCAGTCTGCAGGGGAAAGATGTGGAGGGATACAGGTACACCAATCTGCCTCAATGACGTACCACGAGAATAGCATGGCGTCAAGCATAAAGCTAAAGTGGTAGGTACTCAATCCACGTTTGGTGTGCGCAAATGCCAGAAGCGTAGCACAGTCAGCTAGCTCCGCAATATGTGGGATAGATGGTACTGACTAAAAAAGAATACATGAAATCCGGTTGGTATAGAAGGGTGTGTTGGTATACAGGCAGACTAGAGGAGTCCAGTTATGACTTTCAGAAGTTGACTGGAAAACTTATCAGTGTACTTCGTAGGGTCTCGTGACTGCTTTCACCCACAAACGGCTGTGAGAATCGGACCAACCAACGACAGAGATTCAAAGGTTGCTTACACAGAGGAACAACTGCATTATATAGCACGATGCACGATCTTGAAAGCCAACCATGGTACGGAAAGTGTGAGGACAAACAAAGCCAATAAAGACTGAACATACGAGAAACCAATCAGATGTACACATAAAACGAAAATTGAGGGTATTACCATCAGAGTAGTTTTGCGATCGGAACGCAAAAACCACAACTCTAAATGGCCAATAGGGATAGCGAAATTATACGTTGAACCAAGCATCAGTGAAACGCCAGAGCAAAACGGAAGTTCGCAGTCACGAACGGTTACACAAGCATATAACAGTATTGTTGGACAATACATCGCTGATATCGTATTTGATTTGTACCAACGATTTCAAGACATACAGGGCTATCAGAGTCAAGTGATCTGGATTCGATGGTTAGAAGACGACTATACGCTACAAACGCACGAAGCGGGATAACTGACGAGAGGCGACGGTATATATGGGCGTATAGAAGCAGTATGTCGTTGGTATCAATGTTTCTTGATGTATGGAATTATTTTTAACTTCGCAGTTGTGACGGCGGCGAGTCAAACGATCGCAGAGTCTACCACTATAAGAGCAGTAGAAGAGTTGGTGTTGTGAAAAAAAACAAAGTGGATATTAAAGTTGGGAATGGAGTATCCACTGGTGGTTGGGTTGCTACAAGCAACCTCTATTGAGACCTCGGTCATTCCGATCACAAAGACCGTAAGTAAAATGGAAACATTATAGTGTTGCTCATCCCAACACTGGCACCCCAAGACCGCGGTTTCCTCCTGGTTAGGACTCATCAGTTGGAGATAGCCTGAGTTGGGCTGGAACTCAGAGCCTAGTGGCTCATGGTTGACGCCATAAGCACTATGACACTGAGAGCCACGAGCAAAGTGGATATTAGATGATTTGGTGTAGGTTATTCATGCAAAATGTGTACTCAATATAACTGCTGGAGTGTCCGGTAGAAGATGCAAGCACGATTAGGAAGTAACACAGCCGGAGTATAAAGGTATCCAGTACAGTTTGAATACGACAGGGGAAAAGTAAACAGTAGTAGAATGGCGGATAAGGGCGATTGTTTTTTAGATACAACTGAAAAATAACAATGGGCGGACAGCAAAGAGTAAAACGGCATTTGTTTAAGTATAACTATTACGAAGTGTAAGATGGTGAGCAATAGATTAGGAAAAATGTTACAAAAAGAAAGCGTTTATTGAGGTCATTGCTCGATCAATGAAGCATTCATAAATTCACGTTGTCACAATTTTTATGGTGTCCGACCGCCAAGTGACTGTGGAGAAATCGATACGGGAATGGTGGAATACTGTTTGATTTGGTGGCTAATATTTCTACGCAATAAGGTTGAAGAAGGAGAGAGAGAATAGTTCAGCGCATGTCTAAAAGTAAAGTCTTTTCAACGCCAGTGTGAACTTTCTAGTGTCGTTTGCAATGCATAGAAACCAAATGTTTTGTGTTTATTTAGAAATCGGTAGGATGCGTCCAGCTGTTTTGAGTTGTTATGTTATAAAAATAAATTTTATCGCCAGTGCATCAATGTTATGTTCAGATGCTTCGTTAGCATACAAATACAGGGCTGAGATGCTACAGGAGCACCCAAACCTGTGCAAGAGAGTGGACTCGTCCCCAGGACCTATGAGTTTCAAACCAACCGCCTGAGCTGGTGGGGTACTGGTTGGCTCTCTCGGCTGCACAATTTTGTTGCAGACATTTAGTCCCCAACCGAGGTGATATCGACGATGCCTCACTGTGCAGCGGACAATCTAGTTGAATCGGTCAAAAGCCCTCGGTCGACAAGCAGGTGACGCCTGAAATTGGAATCTTCAATTCTTGTCTCGTGACCGTTACTTGCTCGTTGTTCTGTCGCTGTCCATTTTTGTTCTATGCTGTGGTTCATGATTGGCGCAATTTCCTTCTTTCCCAGTTTCCGGCAAATGAGATTTATATCAATACGCAGATCTATCAAATTCTAGCTATCCTCGTCTCTCCCTGAGTCATAATCTACATTTTCCATACTCAAACTTGTGTCCATTTTCCTCGAAGTACACTTGAAAGAGCGACGGTGAGCAATGACTTGGACAGGCTCGTTTGCGCTCCATTAGTCTTGGAGATAATTTCAACACCATTCGGTCCACATAAGATTTCACACAGGACCCCAAATAGCGCACTTCAACCAACAACGATGAAATGTATGGTTTTGTTGTCTATCCACAACGTTTGTAGAAAGTAGAAGTCACGAGTAAAATTCACGCACAGTAATGTGCCTCGACGGGGAATCGGACCCCGGTCCACGAATTTCCGGTCCGCTGTTCTACCACTGAGCTACCGAGGGCTGACGATTAGGTGCGCAAATTTTAACACGACTTCTGCTTAGTGCGCGACGTATTGCCAATGGGCTCACAGTACCTGTCCTGGTGTTGCAGATTGGCTCACTAACCCGTCACTTCCCAATGGGCTGAAGTACCTGTCCTTCGAATGTCCAATGGGCGATAGTAGATTAATTTTGGATGTTTGTGAGTAGGGTAAAGTTTGTAGAAAGTAAAAGTCACGACAGGACAGGTACTGTGAGCCAATTGGCAATACGTCGCGAACCAAGCAGAAGTCATGTGTTAAAATTTGCGCACCTAATCGTCAGCCCTCGGTAGCTCAGTGGTAGAGCAGCGGACCGGAAATTCGTGGACCGGGGTTCGATTCCCCGTCGAGGCACATTATTGTGCGTGAATTTTAATCGTGACTTCTACTTTCTAAAAACTTTACCCTACTCACAAACATCCAAAATTTATTCACAACGTGTCAATAAAAACCGCCAGACTTCCCAGCCCGCACCACATACCAACCAGCAATGTGAAGAAAACTATGATTAGACCAAAGAGGAAAAAGAAAGCACACGAAAGCCGAAATAGCGTTTACAGGATAGAGTGCGACAACTTGAATAAAGAAAGTAAATGCTATGATCATTGTGTGTTTAAAAACAAAGCTAAAATGATACAGTAGCATAATGAAAGTGCTATGCTTTCACATATTCCAAGCAGCTTGGGATGATACTATTTTTAAATGAGTAAAGGATAAACCACAAACGTATGGTTCACTACTATTATGGAAAACGTAGTTGTAGTAAACAACAACAACAACAACAACAACAACAACAACAACAGCAGTAGCATTAGCAGCGAAAAGCTTCCCAAATCCAACTGATAGAGTGTAAGTAAATTACCAATGTGATAGTAACATCTCTACAAAAGGAAAAAGGGCGGGGTATTCGAATTCGGCTTTGTTGTTGTTATCGGAAGGTTGTTCCCCGCTATTCGCTAAGGAGTTTTAGTATTCCTACATACTGTTTCACTAGTTGTCTGACTGAACCAAGTTTAGGTCGGTAATGTTAGAATGTTCCATCTGGATCATTCCCCCGGTGACGTCAAAAGAACTGGCACAAGATGAGTCTGATCACGTCGGTGGACCCGATGTACTAGTAAACGCAATCAGTTTTCATATAAAAACGAGCCCAATTTTGCAATGCGGACCCATGCATGGGGAAGACATGTCCCAAGACTTAGTGGGAGCTCCAGCACGTTGCATTAACATAAATGTCTTTCAGAACTGGTAACAGGAGAAACCGTTAAACTGAAAGCATTAGAAAAGTCGAATAGATACTTTATATAACCGCTTTTGCGATTTTTGCAAAGGAAGTATTGTCATCTCAATGTGAAAACCTGAGATTACATCAATTGCCGTCTCAATCTGGGTCACCTCATTGAAATCGTCCTTCAAGGGATTGAGGGATTTTCAGCTCATGTCCAATGTCTGTTTGTGGTTAGAAAAGTCAAGATAAAAGTGTTCAGTAGATTGTATATAGAAGCCGTTTTCGAAAGCCAGAGTTACCATGATTCGCGGATGCTCTTGTACATTGGCGTAGCAACTATCGTTGTCGCCTAGGGCTGTGGCAAAATTTTCGCCCTGACTGATGGCACAATAGCGGCGTGAACGTCACACGATCGGCCCACGGTAAAGTGCACACTACTTTCGACGAAATGGATGATCATTTGGGACACTGAGGTAAGCGTGATGAAAGCGATCACAATGGGACAAGCAAGGAGATCGCTGGGAAGAACGTTTGTAGAGATGTGACACATGGCGCAAATGTATTGTTGATCATACAGAGGAACATTAAAATCTCCAGCTCTCAGCTTAGCAGGACATTTTGCCCTTTATATTTGGAGTCGAACAATTGAAAGTACTAAAACTGCCACTCTCCCCGCCCCCACCCCATGCTACGCCTCTGCTTTTAATGCAACACTTCAACAAAATTCCTGTAGACCGAGCAGCAATAATGACAAGCTCAACGCAGAGTTCAACTCACCATCGAAAGCATTCGCCCTACATTCCTTCCCTGTAGCTGATCCTCCTACCTTATTTGACCACATTAGTGTTCATAGGGAGCTCATCAGGTTGAAACAAAACGGAGATAGTGACCCTGGTGCCCTGCCACCAGTCGCTCTGAAAGTGTGTGCAGATACCCCGCGGTAAACTCCTACAGAGATGTTCAACTGATTTTTAACAACTACCATCATAACCAACATTTGGAAAGCAGCTAGAATAATAATAAGGA